CAAATTGAGTCTAAAGAAGTGATACTAATAGAATTCCTCTTTTTATTCTTGACATCAGTGACGATGGAAAAAATCCTCTCTGCTTCAGCATTAGAATGTGGAAGAGATAAAACGCCATGTACTAATTTTTCTAAATTTGGAAAGAACGGTTCATTATTACAATTTTTTTTCTCAAAAATAGTGTTCCACATTTCAAGAATTTCGAAATTGGCTAAAACAATTTTATTCGCGTCATCAAATTGTGAAGGTAAAATTTGCCATTCATTACATAAAGTCGTAATATCAGATATACCGAAACGTTTTGCTACATTCGTTAAATTTGGAAATAAGACTCTATTTTCCTCATGCAAAGCTATTTCGGGATCTAAAAATTTTAATTCGCGCAAGATTTCATCATTGTATGGAAAACGATGTAGCATTTCTTGCATCGCGGTAATATAAAATTGTAGACAATTCGACTTTATTTCTATATAAAAATCTGGACATTCTGCTAAGAGAAATGACTCACAGTCTGAACCAACATTGATACAATTAACTGGTAAAAAGTTTTCCGGATTTAAAATATTATCAGAAATATTATTTAAAACATTACATATCAAAAAATTTTTTCCTATCTGTCTCATTAACTGCTCACAATTTTCAGCAATTTTATAAATTAAGATTTGTCTCGACTGATGCAAAGCATTAAAACTATTAAAAAAAGTTAAAGAATACTTCAAAAACAACATATATGCTTTAATAATTTTATTGTTTAAAGAATTAGAAATTAAATGTGCCGAGTTATTTTTATGTTCAAAAGCTTCCAGGTTGAAGTAATGTTTCAAAACTTCCCAATTATCGAGAAGTCTCTCAACACACTTTTGTAAGACGAGCCATCTTGTACCTGATAATTTCAAAATTTTTCTTGATGCTACTCCAAAAAATGTTTGAAACTCATACAGAATAGCTGATCTTTTAGCACTGCCAGAAAAATATGTAGCAACTGCATGTAAAAGATTTTCACAAGAATCCGGCAATTTTGCACAAGCTTTACTTGCGATAAGAGCTGAGGAATGGCATATACACTTTAATACAATGAGGGCCGGTACCTCTTTCTTTAATCTACTCTTGAAAGAATTATTATCACCTATCATAACTGAAGCATTATCAGAAGCCATTCCTACAATATTCGACATTGGTATCCTCTTACTTTTAAAACACTGTTCAAACGCAGAATATAATTTTTCTGCGGAACAATCTGTTGCATCTAAAGAAACTAATTCTAATAACTGTGTAATAACTGTTTTATTTTCTATAGAAAAATATTTAACTAAAATGCAAAGCATTTTATCATTTGTAATACTTGTACTTTCATCTAGTAAAATGGAAAATTTATTATTTAATAAATTATTAATAAGTTTCTCACTTTCGCGTTTAGCCAAAATATTTGTAATAATTTGCCTACACTTTGTCCGTGACAATGTTAGATCTTTAGCTATCTGTGAATCTGTAAAAATATTTTTTAGCAAAGGAACCATGTCATTAACTACTTCAAAAGCTATATTATGTGTTGCATAAAAGGCAGCTAATTTTATCTCAGCTATTTTTACTTTAGTAACATGGTCCACGTAAATATTATTATGTTTAACAGGCAATAAAACAGATAGAGTGATATTACGACTCTTCATATTTTCTACATGTTTTTCTGTTTTAGAATGTGAAATTAAATTTGATTTTCCGCATATTAATATCTTATTACAAGCTGTGCAGAGAGCTTTTTCATCGTTTTCATGCGATGCCAACCAATCTTTGAAAATATTCATACTTAACCATTCATATTGAAATTTATTTCTTACACATTTCCTCTTCTTTTTCTCAATGCCACTTGATGAAAGCTGTTGTTGATCCATTTCTTTCTTTAATATGGCACTTTTTTCTTTAATTAACTTAATATTAAATTGCACTTTTCTTTATCACAATATCACTTTATATCACAATATCACTTTATATTAAAATTGACCTTTTTATCACATTTTATTTATTAATATATACTATATATACTTATTATCACATTTTACATAACTATACTAATTACTATAACTATATTAATTATACTAATTTAATATTGTCATTTCACTACCTATCTAACCTAACCACTCCCAGGCAAACACACAGACGGCCGAGTATTTTCTGCATGTCCCTTAAGAACCCCCTATTAGTGCCTAACGCCGTCATTGGAAACTGCTTACGTCGAGCTGCTACGTCACTTCACGCATGCGCACAAGGGCTTCTGTCTATATCGAAAATATCGCGAACTGCCAGCACTGACTCGGGCTTGCACATCGGAAGCCACGCTGTCGACAACCCTGGGGGTGGAGGTGTGGGCCGCTCGAACATATTCTGAGGTCGGGGTCGTGCACCCTGGGAGGACCGCCCGTTGGAATCACCCAGAGACTCTTTGGGCCGGCGGGAGGGAAGGTGGAGTCACAGAAACCGGTATATTGACTCTCCCCACTTAGGTGGGGGGCGCCGCGCCCTGGCAACCCTGGGATTCCTTCTGGTCAAGGTCGCGTTCCGCGACGTAACAGGCCATGAAAGCCCCTCCGGTTGGGCAGCTGCGCACGGGGAGTATTAAAGGTCTACGTGGTAGTTGCCAGGATTTCTACAGCGCAGGTCCGACTAACGTCGGATCTGTCCATATCGTAAGCCCCCGGGGTCGTTATGTCATGTTTATGATGGTCCCTGGGAAAACAAGGGCCTTGGCTTTATCGCCTGGCCTGCGAAGATGGGAAGCTTTATAAAAGAAACCCCCCAATCTCAAGTTTCTGGGCCGCGGCGAGGAGATGGATGGCCAGCGGGTTAGTCGGTCGTTAGCGGTCCACCCCGGGGCAAATGGCGAACCCCGGGTGTACAAATCGCCCGACTCCAGCCACCGGCTGAGAGAGTATTCCTCCCACTTTTCGAGCTTATCTTGTACGCTTCCGGGTCACAAGGGGTGAGCAACACAAGAATGATGTTTCTTTTTAAACCAAAGTATGCAGTGGAGGGAGAGGGAGAGGTGGAGATGGAGGCCTATGCCTCCTCACTTATCGGATGGAATACGCCCGCGGCTGTGCCGACCACCAGCACAGCGGAGAGGGCTCCTATAGCTGTGGCCGTGACGGAGACACATAAAACCAATTACAGCCTCACTAGAGAGGAATGTCTCGGGACGCTTAATCACTCTGAGAGCGCGGGGGATTATGCAGGGCCACCACCAGCCCCGTTGTGTTCTCATGGGGCAGGTGTGCCCACCCGAAGCGCCGCTCCCCTAAAGCTGCGCGGAGGGGGGGAGTCTGACGAGGACTCTGACCATGACAGAGGAGAAAGTGAGCCTGCAGCCGATGGGACAGTGGATTCTCCGGCCCGTCGGGTGGAAAGGTTGGCCACTCTAACAGGGCCAAGAAGAGGAAGTTACATCCTACCCCTACCTCGTCTCCTGACTATGAGATCGAGGTGTTGGGTCAGTCCTTTAACCTGACCTCCTCCTTGGAGTGCGGGGTTGAGGAGGCGGAGGGGACCGTCATCAAGAGGAGAAAGAAAGATGGCAGGGGGCGCCCCCCGAAGGATCCGTCGCACGAGGGATGCTTCACGGCAGCGGCACTAAAGGCGAAAAAAGACGTCGCCAAGAGGGAGAGACAGGGCTTGAATGAAGACCCAGCCCTGGATCCATCCATGGCGGTGAGGTTCACCCCGAGGATAAGGAAAGCCCGTTCCGAGGAGGCTGAATTCATCCAAGAGTTCAAGGAGAACCTCTCCGGCAGGATTGAGCGCCATAGCCACCTGCTCGGAAACGGCGGAAAAGCCGAAGAGGGGGGAGGAGGCTCTGACCCGTTCCTCCACCCAGTCTCTCCCGGCTGACGGTTAGAACAAGACGGTGGAAAGAAGGGCGGGGCGAAAACCGCAACCGCCCCTCAGCCGACATCGGGGGGAACCCACCCCTTCCGGCGGCAAGAGCCAGCCACTCAAGGGGACGAAAGTGTGGAGTGACCAACCCCCCGCGGACTCCTCAAAGAGATCAGGTGGCAATAAACCCTCCCCGGATCCTGCTGGGAAGACGGGAAGGAGGGGAGTGCCGCGCCTAAAGGCGCCAACGTCCGCGGCGGTGTGCATCACTTGCCCCGAAGAAAAATATGGCGAGGTGATGCCCACCGCCAGAAGTAGGGTTCACCTCTCCGAGCTGAGGATCAATAACCTCAGGTGCAATAGAGCCATTACCGGGGCTGTCATACTTGAGGTTCCCGAGCCGGAGGGAGACAAACTTGCAAACACCCTGGTCGTAAGGCTCAGAATTGTGCTTGTGGGTGTGGAGGGAGGTCGGGTCGACCGTCCCTCTAAGAAGGCGGAGATCCGCCTCCACAATTTGGAGGACTCTATCACGGCCGCAGAAATAGCTGCGGCCGTGGCCGGCACATCGGGAGGCGATTCCTCCGATGTTAGGGTCGGGGGGATTAGGAGAGCCCCTAACGGGCTTGGCACCCGCCTGGATACAGTGCCCTGTCTCCGTGGCCAGAAAGGTTGCAGAGGCGGGCTGTATCCAGGTTGGGGTTTGGCCCGGGTCAAGGTGCTGGCGACAAGGCCCCTGCAATACTTCCGATGCCTGGAAGGGGGGCATGTCCGTCAGCAATGCCGCAGCGACGTCGATCTGTCTGGCGTGAGCTACCGCTGCGGCGGTCCGGGCCATCGGACCGCGGAGTGCACCGGACGCCTGGTGTGTCCGGTGTGCTCCACGGCTGAGAAGGAGGTGGCCCACAGACTGGGAGGGGAGGCGTGCATAGACTCCCAGAAAAAAAAGAGGAAGGGAGGAACCAAGGGACGGGGAAAGCCCGAACCTCGCCTCCCTCTCTTCCCCCCAGAAAGTCGCTCGGCAGTGGTCTCCGGTCCCCCGGAAACCGGTTGCCGGATCACCAGGGTTGGGTCAAATGTACCCTCCCCCGAAAGAGAGGAGGGAACTCAGGAGGCTCAGGAGTGGCAAGGCCTACCCATCTGCACCCGAGGACCCAGAGGCCCTCACTAAAGTGCAGATGGAGGAGATTCCCCGAAGATGGTGGAAGGAGGGGGATCGGGAACGGGCAATGCCCCCGCGATAGCAGAGGGTTTGGCCTAAAGGAGGCAAACTTGGCGTCTACCAATGGCGTCTAAACTCCTCCAGGCCAATTTAGGCCACACAAGAATCGCCCAAGACCTGTTCCTGCACTCGCTTGACGAACGCGGGGCAGGCCTGGGCGTGGCGTCTGAGCCCTACCGGATCCCAGCTGAAGATTCACGTTGGTTCGGGGCTCAATATACTGGAGGTAGTCAGGAATCTCTCAGACCGACACTAATTGAGGCCGAGGAGTTTTTGGTAGCGATGAGATGGAGGGCCCTGATAGTCGTCGCCCTCTACGCTCCCCCAAGGTAGCTAGAGTCGATTACGAGACGCATTTGGACCGGGTATCGGGAGTCGTCAGAGGTGCGCCCCTCACCCGGTGGTGGTGGCCGGGGACTTTAACGCCAAATCCACGGTGTGGGGGTTCCTCGGCCACAAACGTCCGTGGTCGGCTTATTGAATGCTGGGCGGTGTCGATGGGCCTTCGTCTTCTGAACAAAGGCTCGGTGAGCACCTGCGTGCGTCCGCAGGGCGAATCTATCATTGACCTCACTTGGGTCAATGGCCCCGCGGCGCGCGCGGTGGGGTGTTGGAAAATGGCGGAGGGGGTGGATACAGGATCCGACCATCTCTATATAGAGGTGGTCCTCTCCGGCGTTCCCCCCGATGTGCTTAGGCGCCGTCGGGAAAGGGAGCGAGGGCGGCCCGGTAGATGGGCTCTCCGGAAAATGGACGAGGACGCCCTCCGAGCGTCCATAGTGACGACGGAGTGGTCACGGGGGAGGGTTTCTCCCCCTCCCTCTGCTGGACAGGCTGATGTGGAGGAAGAGGCGGAAGGACATGGAAAGGGCGTGTAACGCGTCCGGGACAGGTGTCGGATGCAGCGGACCAGAAGGGCGGGGGACATTGCGGAAGCGACGAGAGCGCGCAGTGCTTTCCGGGCCGCACGGAAAGCCCTGCGCGTTGCTATAGTGAAGGCCAAGACCAGGGCATGGGAGGATTTGCTCAAATCTCTGGACAGGGACCCTTGGGGGCGCCCGTACAAGATAATTCTGCGTAGACTTAGATCCTGGGCGCCCCCGGTCACTGAAAATTTGGACCCCTTCCTCCTCGACAATGTGGTGAGGACCCTCTTCCCGGATGAGGGGCCGCCGCCGAACTGGAGCGAGGAGTGGGAGGTGTCCGAGAACGAGCTGACCCGGGCGGCCCGTCGGTTTGGGGGGGGGGGAAGGACCTCTGAGCCGGGCATGGGCTCTGGTCTTGGCCGACATTGGAGCCCGCCTGAGGTGCCTCTTTACTGGGTGCCTAAGGACGGACACCATTCCAGGTCGGTGAAAAAGGGCGGGACTGGTCCTCATTCTCAAGGTGGGCTGGCCCCCGGACGTCCCTTTCGCGTATAGGCCTATTTGCCTATTGGACGAGGTGGGTAAATTCTTTGAAAGAATCGTGGTGGCCCGCCTCGTCCGGCACCTCTCTCGGGAGGGCCCAGACTTGAATGACGCGCAGTACGGCTTCCGCGAGGGTCGCTCCACGGTGGACGCGATCCTTCGTGTGAGGGCCTTCGCGGAGGCGCAGGTGAAAGAAGGGGGGGGGTAGTTGTGGCAGTCTCGTTGGACATAAAAAACGCCTTTAACTCCCTCCCCTGGGACCGGGTAAAGGAGGCGTTGTGGCATCACTGCTTCCCCCTCTACCTGGTCCACATTGTCCGGGCCTACTTCCGGGGGAGGAGCCTGGAGTTCGTCGACCGCGACGGACTCCAAAGCGGAAGGGACATGCGGTGTGGGATCCTACAGGGGTCGGTTCTGGGGCCTCTGTTATGGGACTTCGCCTATGACCGCGTCCTTAAAACAGCCTTTCCCCCGGACAGCGCAGTCGTCTGCTATGTTGATGACACGCTGGTGCTGTCTGGAGGCACCGACTGGGAGGAAACAACGGCTTTGGCCAACGTGGCCGTCGAATGCGCTGTACGCTCGATTCAGGCGCTGGGCCTGAAGGTGGCTCCCCAAAAGACTGAAGCGATGTTTCTACACGCTGGGACTAAGGAGCCACCTTCCCGGACCCACATTACGGTGGAGGAAACCCGCGTGGAAGTGGGGCCCGAGTTAAAATATCTGGCCCTCAATCCATGGCCCTGTAAGGGGCCCCGGTGTGGGCGGGTGAGATGGGGGCCAATCGGCGCATTAGGGCGCTAGTTAATAGTGCTCAGCGCGTAATGGCCAACCGTCTCACTCGCGCTTATTGGACCGTGTTGTATGCGGCCGTCACGGTCCTGGCCGGTATGCTCCCTGCGGACCTTCTCGCTAGAGTGTACGCTGACACGTATACCCGCCTGAGAAGGCTCCGCAAAGGGGGGGAGGGGGCGATATGTCGGCCGGGACCATAGGGCGGATCCGAGCCCGGGCCTGGCGCAGGGCCCTCCTGCTCTGGAAGGAGCAACTCGGAGGGCCCAACGTGCCGTGGAGGCGGACCAATGAGACCATCTGCCCCTGTCTTCTTGAATGGGTGTGCAGGGGCCACGGCGGGCTGAACTTCCGCCTGACGCAGGTGCTCACCGGGCACGGAAGCTTCGCCGCATAAGGAAAGAGCATACGGCGCAATGCCACCACTGTGCGGCCGATCGGGACACCGCGCAGCACACCCTGGCTGACTGCCGTGGGCTGCCGAGCGGGACATCCTAATCGCTGTGGTGGGCGGGGACTTCTCGCTCCCGGCCGTAGTTAAAGCTATGGCCGGGAGCGAGGAGACTTATGAGGCGATGGCCTCCTTCTGCTCTTCTGTTATGCAGTGGAAAGAGGCTGCCGAAAGTGTTAGGAGGGGAGAGGCGGAGGTTATACCGCTCCCTCTTTCCACCTCCTCTTCGGAGGAGGATGAGGGGGTAGAGGGGCCGCGGAGGAATGCGAGGCGGGATCGCAGAAGGCGTCCCCATCCCCACCCCCTCCCGCTCACCTCAGATACAGCCTACAGGAGAACCCCACCTGAGGGGTTTCCCCTCCCACCCAAGGAGGAATGCCATCACCCGGCGTGGCGGTCATTCCGGCTACCCGCCGCCTGGACGGGCCAATCCGGAGGTTAGGACTCCCAAATTAGGAGTGGAGTCCAACCACCCGCGAGGGGATGCTCGGACGCGCTCTCCAATTTTGGAGGCGTGCCCTGGGGCGTCTCCTCACTCGGCCCTCAGTGGGTGATAGAGCGAAGCTCCGGAAGGATGGGAGGGTCGCCGGCAGGCGGGAATACCTGCCGTCGACAACCCCAAACTCCCCCCCCCCACAGCCAATGGATAGGGGGTGCGGCGAGAGGTCTTGTGTCCGCCTCTTGCCGCGCAAAGGCCAGGACTGGCACACTAGGTGGGGTGGGAAGCTGGCTGGGATTTTGTCCACCGTCAACTCTCACCCCCGGGTTAGGAGCGTTCTAACGCTAGCGCAGAGCGGCCCTCTAAAGAATTCCGAAAGATGATACCAGGGGGTCGCTCCGTTCGCGCAGAGTAAGACACACCCAGGGGTTTTTAATGGGTATACCTCCCCCACCTCTTTTGGGGGGAGAGGAGTCCCACACACCTCCGAAGACTTCCCCGGGTCTTCGGGGGATGCGTGATGCATTTTCCCCTAGGTTATAAAAAAAAAAAAATATTTCGACAAGTGTGAAGTTAGTCCCCCCAAATTTTAATGTTAAATAACTTTTTTTCTAGAGGTGTGCAAACAAAAACTCGACTTGTTTCGAAATGTGCAAACGAAAATCTAACGATATCATGCGTCAGAACATTTTTTCCTGCAATTTTAACCGAGGTTTCGACAAGTGTGCAGTTTGCCCTCCCAAATTTCAATGATAAATAACTTTTTTTCTAGAGGTGTGCAAACAAAAACTCGACTTGTTTCGAAATGTGCAAACGAAAATCTAACGATATCATGCGTCAGAACATTTTTTCCTGCAATTTTAACCGAGGTTTCGACAAGTGTGCAGTTTGCCCTCCCAAATTTCAATGATAAATAACTTTTTTTCTAGAGGTGTGCAAACAAAAACTCGACTTGTTTCGAAATGTGCAAACGAAAATCTAACGATATCATGCGTCAGAACATTTTTTCCTGCAATTTTAACCGAGGTTTCGACAAGTGTGCAGTTTGCCCTCCCAAATTTCAATGATAAATAACTTTTTTTCTAGAGGTGTGCAAACGAAAACTCGATTTGTTTCGAAATGCGCAAACAAAAATCTAACGATATCATGTGTCAGAAGATTTTTTCCTGCAATTTTAACTTAGGTTTCGCCAAGTGTAAAGTTAGCCCCCAAAAATTCAATGTGAAATAACTTTTTCTAGAGGTGTGCAAACGAAAACTCGACTTGTTTCGAAATGTGCAAACAAAAATCTAACGATATCATGCGTCAGAAAATTTTTTCCTGCAATTTTAACCTAGGTTTCGCTAAGTGTGAAGTTAGCCCCCCAAAATTCAATGTTAAATAACTTTTTTTCTGGAGGTATGCAAACGAAAATTCGACTTGTTTCGAAATGTGCAAACGAAGGTCTAATGGTATCATGCGTCAAACAATTTTATTTTGCAGTTATAAATTCGGCAAGTGTGAATTTGACCTCCCCAAAGTTTAAAGTGAACTAACTTTTTTTTCTAAAGGTGTGCAAACGAAAATTCAAATTATTTTGAAATGTGCAAACGAGAATCTATTGATTACATGCATTGTGCGTCAAGTTTGAGCAACTTGAGGGGCTAGGATGAAGTTAGCCCCCCAAAATTGTTTTTTAAATTTCTTTTAAACTAAATGTGTGCAAACATATGATCCTCCGGAAGCCGACGGATCGCTAGCCTTGCCGCGAAGATCCGAGACAGCGCACGCAGCAATCTCAGCGAACGAAAACTTCGCGAGTAATTATCGCTATCGAGACTACTGGATGTAAGGAGTGCACAGAGAGAGAGAGAGAGAG